ATTTAGGTCAGCAATAGAAAAGCATTTCTAGAGTGTGTTAGGTACCTGAATAGATTTTAAATGGAGGTTGGAATTCTCTTATGTCAAGTACTTGAAAAGGATACATTCTAATCTTTCAGGAATGGTTTCTGAAAGCAGAATAAAGGACTTGTGACCACCCTTCTCACTTTAAAATAAAATTCTTAAAACCATATACTTATGGAATATGATGCTTTTTTATTTGTTTCATCCATAATTTAAAAATCATATAAGAGGAGTAAAGAAATAATGGAATATTCCAGATTTGATTTGATAGAGGGCTAGAAACAATGGTGATAATAAATAAGTAGGGCTCAACAGTCCATGACAAAAGGAAGAAAGTATTAAAACATTAAAGAACTAAAAAAATTAAAATTCTTATCATAACAACTCTTTAGGTAAGTTATAAAATATAGTACCATCTACCAACACACTCTATAAACAAACTATAAAGAATCTGAAACAAATCAAGTAGAAATAAACCTCCCGGAAACGGATATAAGTAGAATGATACAAACCTGTTATTGTTATTTATTCCTTTAATTTTTTTTTACCAATATTAAACAAACAAGCCCATTTTGTTTTGTTTTGTTCCCCAAATGGGGAACAGGTAACATATATAGAAAAAATATAATAAGAAATTTATTCAGACAAGAATGTGCGCCTTAGAAGTCAAACCACTATAAAAGTTCTCTTTATGCTACCAAGTCAAATTTTGAATGGATCTTAACCAAATGATCAAAGTTACCATCATCAATAATGGAACAAACCAACATTCTGTGATTCCAGATAGGATGTGCTGAGAAGGGCACAACATTACTTCTGTGATATTCCTGGCAAAAAATGCACAACCTGTAATCATTAGGAAACATTAGACAAACCCACATTGAGGGACATTCTATCAAACAACTGGCCTATATGGGTTTAAAAATGCCAAGAAGGCATCTAGGTAGTTCAGTTGGTTAAGCACTCTTGATATCAGCTCAAGTTGTGATTTTGCAGTGCTGAGACCCAGTCCTGCAACAGGCCTGCACTAAGCATGGGGCCTGCTTGAGATTTACTCTCTCCCCCCACCCCTTTGCACTTCTCCCCCACTCTCACGTGTTCTCTCTAAAAATAAATAAATAAACAAAAAAGTTTAAAAATAAATAAAAGTGTCAAGGTCATGAAAGACAAAGAGAAGCTGAGAAACTATTCTACATTACAGGAAACTAAAGAGACATGACGACTAACTGTAATGCATGACCCAGGACTGGGTCTTTGATGGAGGGGAAAGGTGGCTGATATACAAATAGAAAGTTATATGACATAGCTTAGACTATGAACTACTGATTAGATAATATTGTATCAGTGTTAAATTTCTTGATTATATTACTCACTGTGGCTGCATAAAAAATCCTTAGAGAATATACACAAAAATATTTAGATGTAAAGGGACTGATGCCTGTCACTTACTCTCCAATGATTCAGAAAAAACGTGTGTTAAGAAACAAAGAATGAGCAAATGAGGCAAAAATGTAAAAAATTGGTTAATCCAGATAAAGTGTATATGAAAGTTCTTTTTATTCTTCCTGAAACATATTTGTAAGTTTGACTTTATGTTAAATAAAAAGCTGCAAAACAACAACAACCTTAACTGAGTATATTAATTCCTACATAGTACTTTCAGTTCCAACCAGGAACTTACCTCCTTAAAACCTGAGAGCACTGGAGGGGAAAATTCACCTTTAGTAGGCAAGGAAAAGCTACCTTTTAAAAATACATTAAATAAATGTATACATATATTTTATAATCCCAAAACATTATTTACTATACTTAGAAATCTGGAATTTATAAAACTGTTTAGAAAGCACAAAAATAATTTTAAAATCCCAGATTTTACTATTTTAGACTTAAAATGCTTTCATCTGATGATAATTTGATAAATCATAATCACCGAGTGTTTTCAGGCATCCCATTCCTAAGGTGAGGTTAACTCAGTAATTTTTAAAGAATTTTATCAATAGTGCTATCAAAACTGAGGGAAAAGTCATGGCATATGATCTAAACAGAGTGGTCCCTTCCTATTAACTTCAGAATAGGAAAAGCTAAAGTCATCCAAATATAAAATATAGTTATTAACAGTTTACTACTTCATACAAATAGAGGTAGGAAAGTGAAACTAGCGTCTTGTGATAGCTCATGAACCAATGTCTGAATACCTGTCTGTGCTTTGTTATAACGCAACAATAAGCGAGTCAGAAATGGCTTCACTGAAGCGCTGGAAGCCTTACTTCCTCGGGTGCTCAGCCATCTTTTCATCAGATCCGTCAGTATCCATTCCTTCTGGTAACCATCAAGAAACATCACCATTAAATTCCCTATAGAAAGGTTATTATATTCAGAAATGGCAAAGTAAATTTTCCATCATTTACAGAAATAAAAAATATGATACTATACTAACTGTGTTTCTAATTATTTTACTAACTCAGTCAGTAATTTTTGGCTAGAGTAATAATATTTTTTGGTATATTAAAAGTGGGCACTTATTCACTGCTAGTGGTGGGAGGAGGAAGGAGAATTCGTACTACCTTTCCAGGATGCAAAATGACAATGTGTGTTAACCTTATAAAAACCAATACTCTTTGACCCAGCAAGTTCACTTATAGGAATTATTCTACAGAAATATAAGAAATATACAGAAAGATACTTATATATAAAAATATTTATGCATATATGTGCATATATGTACATGTTATCTATACATATATGTATTTGCACAACAATATTTATGAACAAGAATATTCACTACTTCAATGATAAATGAAAACAACTTAAATGTCCAAAGACACAGGATGATTAAATAGGTTAGTACATATCTATAAAATGCAGAGTACACTCCTCTCAAAATGATGACATAATCAATTAGTACAGTAGTACATCTGTTTAATTTTTATATAAACTAGGAAACATATACACTAAAAATTGCACATAACTTATGGAAAGTGCAATCAAAAGTGTTTGCACCCCACTTGGACACCACTATTGTGTACAACAGGCTTCGGCAGTCTAGGCCAGGAGATGACAAACTTTAAGTCCTCAGGCTAACTGGGTCCCACTGCCTGCTTTTGTAAATAGAATTTACTGCAACAAAGACATCCCTATTCATATTTCTTGTCTGTGTCTGCTTTTCACATTACAACAGCAGAGTTGAGTAGTTCTGACAGACACTGTAAGTCCACAAAGTTGAAAATACTTACTATCTGGATCTTCATGGAAAAAAGTTTCTGAACCTTGGTCCAAAAGCTAGCTCACATTTCTCTCCAATGCTTTCCAAATATCCTTTCAATTTACTGAATTATATGATACAACCATCTACACTAAGTGGTTTCCAAACTATCTTTGCATGTGTGGCAGAAGAGAAAAAGACCTCAGTCTGTCCACTCACCCCAACCAGTCAGGGAAGGGGGTAAAATGCAGAAAGGAAAGAAGGGATAGGAAGGAACAAGGAAGATAAGGATTAAAGAAGGGATAAGAAAAGTTTGAAAGCCACTGATTTATTTTAGGGGTAGAGGTGAAGGGGAGGACAAGGAGATCCTCATTTAGCAAATGAGTTTGTATTAAGGAACAGAGTTTATACTAGAACCCAAGTCTCTTAATATATAGCATGTATATTATACAGGATGTATTCTCAATTATCAATTAGAGGCAGAAGAGCAAAAAAATTTTAGATATTAAAATGGTTTGTGACCTTCCAAAGCTCAATTCAACTCAGGAATCTTATTTCTTAGTATTTAATTTTGTTAATTTCTCTCTCATTTCAATTAAATGAATATTGATTAAATTGATTTTAATTTTTCTCCTTAGAGAGGCAATAATGAAAAAAACAAATGGTGAGAACAATGAGATATAGGAAATATTCCCGAACCTTAAGTTCCCATACACAAAATGTTAAAAGGCTCTTATTTACTAATATACACATTTTAACCCATCATTTTTGGTTCCAGTGCGCACAAACTACAAATCAATCCTGCTATGGACAGTCTTACAAATAGGACACTGGATAGATACAGAAGACAGAAGAAAAGTAAAAGAGCAATAAAAAGTAGAGGTTATTGCAGTGAAAATGTGTAGAGGAAAGTAAACTCAAGCCTCAGAACTGTACACACTTACCATTTGTAAGAAAGAGGATGCTGAGCTTTACCAAGAAGCATGCTGAACATGCTTTACCAAGAAGTTAGCAGCACGGGCAAAAACCTATATAACCTTACATAACACTAGGCATGAGGTACATAGATTGAGAAAGACCTAATCAGTAATCTCAAGCATCAAAGCTATTTGTTATCTCTTGAACTGCGGTAGGAATCAATGGATATAAAGCAACCATTAATACTTCAGGAAAGAGAATGGAAAGTTTTTAGTATAAAAGGATGAAAATGGCAATCAATGGTTGCGCTAGCTACTAAGCTGTTGCCTAGCCATAAATCTATTATAGAACCCTGCAAATGACATCTTTCCATTGTCAGCTAACTCCTTGTTAGGTTCTCCTAGGAACAGGTGTTAGAAGGAAGTTGAAGAGTTCTGGAAAGTGAGGTGGGCTTTCCGTTTTACTTCTTGCTCCTGTCAGGGCTGCCCCAGCAACAACTCTTTAGAGGAAGCAATTCCTTAGTAGACCTGGTTCCAATTTCTATGTTGTTCTCCCCCACGCCCCTCCCCACTCACATTCCTAGGACAAGACCCAGAGGCCCCTCCCAGAACCAGACCCAGAGGCCCATATTCCCTCAGAGGCCACTAGCAGCAGCCAAGCAGTGCCCTTTCTTAAAGGTCCACCTCTTAGCTCTGTGGAGCCCCTCCCCCAAATCCGTGAGGGGCCAACTCTCATCAGGCAACACCTACTCTTCAGAGGTCTGGGTCCCAGATCTGCCCTTCTCTTGAGATTTTCAATCCTGACAATCCCAACCTCTTCTTCGCCTTTTCTTTTTTTTTCCGCAATGATGTTGGAAAAAAATATGGAACGCTTCACAAATCTGTGTGTTATCCTTGCAAAGAGCCATGCTAATCTCGGTATAGTTCTAATTTTAGTATATGTGCTACCTAAGCGGGCACCCAATCTTTTCTCTTTGTTTCCCCTGATTCTTGCTATTACTGTTATCTCAGTGTTCCCCTTTTGCATCACCCTCTCATACCTAATTAACTAACTCTCCATAAAAAATAACTATTGTGGTCTCATCTTCCGGACTGGTCCTTACTGATACAAAGATAATAAGTAGTCCTTATTTTAAATGTAATTAATATTCTCTTCAGGGTTATTTTTAGTGTTTTAGTATATGTAAAAAACATCTTTAAGAACTTAAGAGAATTTTCTTAACAATTCAGTCTCTGTAATGTTTTCTTGTTGTTACTGTTGTTGTTTTCCTGTTTGGTGTAATAGTTTTTTTTCTCCAACAGTTCTTTTGGTCATATCTGTGAGAAAGCCCCAGCAAGTCACTAATGTGTCTGTGATACTTAATGCCTTAACCTGTCCTTTTATTTCCTCAATATATCTTAGCTAGGGGTGCCTGGGTGGCTCAGTTAGTTAAGCATTTGACTTCAGCTCAGGTCATGATCTCATAGTCTATGAGTCTGAGCTGCTTGGCAGGCTCTGTGCTGACAGCTCAGAGCCTGGAGTCTGCTTCTGATTCTGTGTCTCCCTCTCTCTACCCCTCCCCTGCTCATGCCTCTCTGTCTCTCTCCTTCTCTCAAAGGTAAATAAACATTTAAAAAATAATAATAACTGTGTCTAAGTTATTAGATGCACTATCTTTTTTTAAATGTTTATTTATATTTGACAGATCCAAGCTGAGGAGGGGCAGAGGGAAGGAAGGACAAAGGACCTGAGGCAGGCTCCATGCAGACAGCAGATAGCCCAATGTGGGGCTCAAACTCACAAACCGCGAGATTGTGACCTCAGCCTAAGTTGGACGTTCAACTAACTGAGCCACCCAAGTGCTCTGCAAATCTTACTTTTTAACACGAACAGCAAATTCTTTAGTTCTGGGCAGCAGTAACTGGAATAGCCAGTGCCAGGTAGGGGAGTAGACCTGAATGAGTTATCAAAAGGCAGCAGGTTTAAGGGGAAAAGAGCAATTAACTGAATCTTAAAATCCTAGCAAAATGCTTGTTTTTATTGACACATTTTTTAAATATATACTGGAATTAGTCACAGTGGAGAAATACAAAATGTCTAAGTATACTCTATAAAATAAAAAAAAATTAAAAACTAAATTGAAAAAGGGGCACATGGGCAGTGGGGGTGGGCACCAGGGTGGCTCAGTTGGTTAAGCATCCCACTTGGACTCAGGTCATGAACTCACGATTCGTGGGTTTGAGCCCCGCATTGGGCTCTGTGCTGACAGCTCATAGTCTGGAGCCTGGTTAGAATTCTGTGTCTCCTTCTCTCTCTGCCCTTCTCCCACTCATGCTCTCTCCAAAATAAATAAACACCAAAAAAAAATTTTAATGGGGGTGGAGGGGCACATGGATGGCTCAGCTGGTTGAATATCCAACTCTTGATTTTGGCTCACGTCATGATCCCAGGATTGTAAGATCGAGACTTGTGTCAGGGCTTAATATTCTCTCTCTCTCTCTCTGCCCCTCTCACCCGCTCTCTGTCTCTCTAAAATAAAACAATAAATCAAAATGTCTAAGTACAAAACATGCACTTCATTAAGATAAGAGTTATTCATGCAACTATATAACAATTAACTTATCAAAATCTCACCTTGCTAGCTATCCTGGGAAAATACATCACTTAACCTCTGGTAGCCTCAGTTTACTTATCTGTAAAGAAAATAGGTTGGACTAGGTCCCTGTTGTCAGAGAATCTAACGAGACAATCTATAAAATTTCTTTTTGTGTTAAGGCATTAGGAGCTCAGCATCATCACCAAGAGACAAAAAATTGGTTTTGTAAAGGAAAAAAGTAAAGAAGTTTCTTTTGTAAAAGAAAACAGAATAGCAAGATTGATAGTTTAAAAACATAATTTGAAAGTGATTAAAATATATCATGTTAAGGAAGGCTTTATTTTCTTCCTCTAAGTCAAGGAAAAGGAAGAAAATATATCACAGGCAAATTATCTAGTTAAAAAAAATCAAAAGTTTCTTTATTTCTATTACCACAGTCTTTGAAAACATTTAATAAGTCAGAAAGGATATTTCTTAAATTCTCTTCAAGAAAGAAAACGCTTCTGTTGTTTTTTCATTTTTAAAAACTAGGTTAGTTTTGATATTCTTCTCTCAAATTGTCTGATCACCTGCTATACAATAACTGTATGCTTTCTTGGTTTATTTATGGAAATAATTATATACAAGTTAAAGGTTTGTGACACAGGCCAGATGATTTATCATTTAGTAGTTAACCATTTAACTTAGCAAAAACTGGTAGTTTTTGATGCAAGGAAAATTTGGTAAAAACAACTTTCAAAATTATAATCAGTTAGAGTTACTCCGATGTAAACTGAGGGAGAAAGACTCCATTTGATTAACTGCTTTATATCTCATCTGCATTGTTATAGTTTCTTGATAATTTCCCTCTAAACTTTAAAGTTCACCACTTTTACACAGAAGAAATAAGAAAGGTTTTCACTTGAGAATATGAATTTAACATGTACTCTTTAAGATAGGAAATTTTGCAATTTCAAAACTGAAAATATTAGGTCCTAGTACTCTAGAGCTACCACTACTATAAAAACAAATTTGCAAGAGTCTGTACAACATAGTTTCATTAATGTACTATATTGTATATCGCTGTAAATACATAGACAAAAGTATAGAAGCACAATGTTAACAGTGGCTAATTTTGAAGAGCAAAATGATGTGGCTATATGGAGCAGGATGGAGGAGATTTTTCACTTAATGTATTCTAAACTTAAAAAGTTTTTTTTTGCAAGGCATATGCCTAAACTAATAATTTTTTAATTAAAGATTCTTTTGAAAAATTAAAGTTATACGTAACTCACTGAAAAAAACCTGAGCTTAAAGTGAAGTAACATTTAATCAGTAAACTTATTTATGCATAAATCTTACTTCAGCACCTTTTAAGTGTCAAGGACTGATTATAAGCTCTGGGAATAGAGCAGTGTATAAAAATCCTGCCCTTCTGAAACTGACATTCTGCTGGGAGTACTAACAAGATGATTACATACTAGGATATACACTCTAAAGTATATAAATTATAGAGTAATGGAGGGAGGAGATGGTTAATTTACATTGGTGTTCAAGAAAGGCCTCTTTAAGAAGATTACACTTGAGGGGGCACCTGGGTGGCTCAGTCAGTTGAGGGTCCAACTTAGGCTCAGGTCATGATCTCACGGTTTGTGGGTTTGAGCCCCCACATCAAGCTCTGTGCTGACAGCTGGGGGCCTGGAGTCTGCTCTGGATTCTATGTCTCACTCTCTCTCTGCCCCTCCTCTGCTTGCACTCTGTCTCTCTCTGTCTCTCGAAATAAACAAACAAACATTAAAAAATTAAAAAGATTACACTTGAACTAAGAGCCTAAATAATGAGAATGAGAAGCCATAAACAAAGATCCTGAAGGAAGCGTTCCAGGCAGAGGCAGAGTGATTGCAAAGATGTGGAAAGTGATAAAAACAGTGGGGCTGAAACATAATGAGTGGTAGGAGATAAGTTGGAGTACATGAGCTTGAGGGACTCTGATCTCAAGGTAAAAGATTCAGTAAGAATTGAAGCACTTTTAGCAGAGAGGTGAAGGAGGATGACTAACATTTTTAAGAGATCTCTCTGGTTGCTGTGTGGATCATGGTTTGTAGAGAGAGAAAGAGTGAGAGTAAGAAGTCCACCTAAGAAGCTGAGATATACTTCAGGTGGAAAATGATACTTGCTTAGCCCATATCGATGGAGAGATCACTCTATTCAGGTTTCAGTGGAGATAAATAAAAACGAAAAAAATAGAATTATTGTTACAGTTTTAACTTAATCAATTTTGAAGGCTGTGTGAAAATTGTTTTTTTCTCATGTTCTATAGATGCCTACATAATATCCCCAATTTTGCCTCTTAGAACACAAAGACTAAAATTTTGACTAGCTGGCTCTTTATAGAGAAAGTTTATTGAACCCTGACCTAGAAGAAAGAGTATAAAACCTGGAAAATGATGGGTGTAGTTACCAAACCTTGAAGTACTTCAAAATTCAGAGAAGGACCCAGCAAAGGAATGTCCACTGAGACAGAATTGTAGCAGATTAAGGAAGAAAGATATTAAAATAAATAAATAAACAAATGAGAGAGAGAGATTTCAAGAAATTGAAGAAGGGGGCACAGGAGAAGAAGATTAAAGGCAGAGTGATCAACTATGCTGAATGCTGCTGAGGTAACCTATAACATGAGTAAAGTATCTACTCGATTTGGCAAAAGAGAAATCACTTAACAAGAGCAGTTTCAGTGTAGTGGTGAAAACAGAAACTGTGTGGAAAAAGGATTAGATAATGAAGAAGTGGAAAAAAAATAAAATCAACTGAACTGCTGAAATGGGGAGCAGAAGAATGGTATAATGCTGTATGAGAAGAGAGATCAAGAAAGGGTTAAGATCCTTTATCTTATTTTGGTTTTGTAAAATGTTAAGAATTATCTAGTAGAGGAAGGAACTGATCCTGGAAGGAGTACAACTAGAAGAATGGGACTCAGAGAACAAATGATAGGGAAACAAGTACACTTCTTTCATTTTCAAAGAAAAGGATGAAATTTAACTTGGTTAAAAAAGGAAGCAAAGGCAGAAGGAAGGTGGTGGATAATGAACAGTGGTGTGTTTGATGGTCTCAATAAGGTCAAGTGTTTTTATAGCAGGTACTAAAGTAACTGACTTGGAATTTTAGAGGTGATAGAGAAAGGAATATATCCTAATGAGATTTGATGGATCGGGGTGGGAGGGTTTGGTTGATGATGATGACAAGCTTGTTAACTTTTTAAGATGTGACTACAGGATGGGAGAGCATGTGACTACTGATCTAAGGATTGTGAGTTCGAGTCTCACATTGGATGTAGAGATTACTTTAAAAACACGCACATGTTTTTAAATGTGACTATAGGATGTGACTATAGGAAGCTAACTGGAT